TGGCAGCAGATACTGAAAAAACAATATGGATTTGGAAAATAAGAGGATTAAAGATAAAAGAATCTGTGTCAACCAGCAACAAGGGAATACTTAATTCACTAGCAGTTAATTGCAGTGACTCCATGTGTTTCAGATATTGGAAAATCACTTATTTCTAAGTATAAAGTCTTTTTTTTTATGAAGTTGATTTGTCTCTATGATGTGTATGTACTCCTGTATTTGTAACCACAAGAGCTCAAAATAGGATATTTTAAGAAGACATTACAATAGCTTGGATATAGCTCCATGCAGATGTTTATGAAGCTCTGGCTTTAATTATATGTAGTAGTTCATTAACCATTAGAATCCTTTGAGTTTTCTTGTAATTTATTAGAAGTTTTGGATCACATCCAAACTGTTAAAAGAGTTAGTTCTATTGTGATTGTCTCTATTCTTCCAGCACATTCCTACAGAGATGCTCCCTGGTGAAAGATAAAATCTCTGTTCAGAGGATTGGCTAGCTGGTGCATTGCTGTGTGCCTTGTCAAGCAAAACTAGAACTGGTTTTAGTGGAAGCAGGAGAAGAAAAATTGCTGGTTTTAGACAGCCATGGTTAAATGGGATATAGGAATGAATGTGTGCTCTACTGTTATCATAGAATAGTCACAGACTCCAGGACTCACGGGATCATAGAACAGTTTGGGTTGGAAGGAATCTTTAAGACCATCTCATTCCAATCCCCTGCCATGGGCAGGAACACCTTCCACTATCCCAGGTTGCTCCAAGCTCTGTCCAGCCTGGGCTTGGACACTTCCAGGGATGGGGCAGCTTCTCTGGGCAACCTGTGCCAGGGCCTCACCACCCTCACAGTAAAGAATTTCTTTCTAAGAGGAGACTTTTCTAGTTTAAAGCCATTCTATCTTGTCCTATCACTTTGTTGCCCCGTGAAATGCCCCTGTCTGGACTTGTTGTAAAGCCCCTTTATGTTCTGGAGGCTGTATTTTCCTACTTCTGGATGGGGTGGAAGCTCTTATGCCATCTGTGCTTTTGTGAACTTCTCCATCAGCTGCTTTGGTTTCAAAAAGGAAGGGCTGTAGCTCCATGAGAGTAATAAAGGAGGACATTTAGATTTAAAGTTCCTGTAAAATGGTGATGCTCTGTATGAAGCTGTTATGTTTCTCTTTCCTCCATATGTGTTAGGATTTAGAACTGACTGTTGGATGGGAACTGATCAACAGTTTCCTGGAGAGGCAGTGGTTCAAATGATTCTTGGGAGCTGACATTGCTGGGAGGGATAAAGTTACAGTCAGCATTAAGCATTGTGTCTGGTGACTAGTGTAGAATAATTGCTGATGACTGATAGCAGGCAAACCCCACACTTTGGAAAAATAAATTGCAAGTAGTGCTTGAAGGGAAAATTTCCTTTTTTGAGGGAAAAATGATCTATCGTATTTGTGATGCATTTCTTTTGGTTATTTATTCTGTCTCTAGAGTATTAATCCTTGCTTTGGTGATGACACTGTTTTTTTGAATTGAGGAGACGCTTAACTCTGGAGTTCTACACATTGATTTAATTTGGGAGTATGAAAGCCCACCATCAAAGATTCCACATCCTTGACACAATCCTTAAGGAAAGAGAAGTGCTAACCCCAAAACATTTTAAGATTGCTTTTGTTATCCCAGGTTTTCAAAACATGAAGCATTTCAAAAAGTTTTGATGGGCTTAATTCTTTAGATTTCTTTGTTGCTTTTAACATGTTTTCAATTGAAATACATGTTTTTAAAGAAAAGCTCAAATTACCATCTGCTCTAACATTGTCTTATCGTGATATAGAAGTGCCATTAAAGTCCTCAAACACCTGCCATGGGTGGAATGTTTAAGCATTTCATTCAGCAAAGAGAGTCCCAGTAGTTCCCTCCATGGTACCGCATGTAAAGTATAAAAGGTTATGTGGAGATTTATTACCAAAAATTCAACAAACGTCCTGAAAATAATTTAGATTTTGGGTTACTGAACCATGAATCAATGGGTAATGAAATGCCAACACTTTCAAAAGAACTACCAATGAAATAGTCCAAATCTGCCACACTAAGGAGGAGGAGAAAAAAACCATCACAACTATAATTCTCTACAGCCACTTCCTTTTGCACTTTGAAGAACATCACCTCCTCTGTGACCATGCCCATGCCTAATCCAGTATCTTCTCTCTGACAGTAGTCAGTGCCAGATGTTTCAGACATTGTGCTTTCTTTATTATGAGTCAGTCACCATCAAAGCATTCAATCCCTTCAATATCTTGAGCTTGAGCGAACTCAAGTTATTTTGAGATTGCTGATGGAAGATGAGAGGAGGGAGCTGTTTCAACAAGTGATCTGCACTAATTGCAGGGGCTGAAGGCTTCCCTGATCCTGAGCTGGCAACATGAAAGGCATGCTGTAGGAGGCTGTTCTGACAGAGTAGCTGAATATTCAGAGGAGACAATAGAGTCTTGACTGCACTTTGGTTGTATTTCTCTGTCTCCTTAATAGGGCAGCCTCAGGGAAAAGTCCTAATGCACTGCAGTAACAGCGTGGAAAGTGCATTTCAGTATTTTGTGTTGTATCCTGATTCCGTTTGTGGTTTGCTTGCCCTGATGGCTATCCTGCATAGTGTAGTTGCCTTACTTTTGAGGGAGTGAGCTGAACTAATTCCAGGACTGGGTGTGCAGCACCCCCAGGGCATGTATTCTACTGACAGGGAAAGGAGGTCCACCCCAGTAGTTCATTTTGTCCCAGAGTGCTTCCTTGAACAAGTGAGATAAAGGCACCAAATTAAATAATGCTTTTTCCTGATCTGATGCAGCCCTGTCACTCACTCTGATTACTGGGGCTCAGCTTTTTCTTATGAGCAAATGCTGCCCTGGGGACTTGGAAATTAATATGCTGATTTGACCAGATATTTATTTGGCACACACCTCGAGGCACTGCAGCAACAGAACTGTTAAGTAAGAACTACAGGCTAAAATTCAGAGAAATCAGAGAATCCAGCCCCCACAGTGGCAGCTTGAATGGTGAAGCTAAATTACTGTGTGTTGGTTTTCTCTAAGAACAGTAATTGTAGTTATTTTGCACACCTTGAAATTTGTTGAGACTGGTGGTCTTTCACAGCACTCCTGAGCTAGGTTTTGGTGCTGGCATGGAAAAAGAGCTATTCCCAGTAAAAGGTCTGGGTATGGGTCATCTAGAAGTAAAAAATTAGGAAAGTGGGATCTAATTACCGTTTTAAGGTACCTAAAGGCATAGACAAAATGTCTTCTCTCGGAAAGGCTTCACTGTGACAGTTCAGCTTTAGCACAGGGTGCTCAGAGAGGTTGTGGAGGCTCCACCTTGGGGATGCTCAGAACTGAGAAAGCTGGACTAAGTTGGCCCTGCTTTGAACAGAAGGCTGGACTAGATGACTTGCAAAGGTAGCAACCTAAGTCATTCTGTGATTATGGGTCACCGAGAGAATAGTCATAATTTCTGAAAAACAAGTTCCCTTTTAGGAGTTTGTCCAGGGATTGTTTATTTTAAATGCTTTGTCTTTTTTCTCTATTCTATCTCTTAAGAGTATAGCAGCAGCCATCCCACCATGCCCTCTCTGTCTTCCTCCACAGAGGAAGATAGGGACAGACATTGTGGGGTGGCTGCTTGGGGTTTGTGTTGGTGGGAAGGGGACTTTCAAACCCAGTGCAGAGAGGAGAGCTGTGGGGTTGAATGGAACCTTGGCTGACACTGACATGGGATGTGCTGTAGAGTTCCCTGTATGGATGTCTCTGTATCAGCAACAGGGAGGCTTCCCTGAGTGTGGCAAAGTCAGGATTGTTTGGGAGTTCCCATGGCAACCTGGCTGTAATCAGCCCTTTTGACTCAGGGTAATTTTAACGGGACTTTGTCCCCCTGCTTTATTCTTGTCAACAACTTCATTATAGTGGATAACATAATCCTCTAAGAAACAAGGAGAGATTTGGTGCAGTGTTTTTCTTCTAAAAAGATTGTGACTGTGCAGAATTAGAGAGAAAGCAAAGCTCTGAGGAAGTGTCAAAGGCCTAGAAGAGAAGGTGCAGCCAGAAGAATTAAAATGGTATAATGTGAAAGGAGATCAAAGAGGTGATTGGTGTGCCAAGAAGGAATAGGACCTCATGCAACCAATTGTACCCCAGCTTTCCCCTTAGTGACTCTGCGTTTGGGCCTTTTTGCCCATGATGATTAGTTTACAGGAAAAGTGAGGTTGGAAGGGATTTCTGATCTCTAATCTAACCTACTGCTCTAGAATGTCAGACCAGGGGCCTCAGGGATTTATCCAGTAATGTCCTGAAAACTTCCAATAATGTAGACCACACAACTTCTCTGGGCAAGCTGCTCCACTGCTTGACTGCTCTCTGAAGGCGTTGCTTCATATATCTGGTCTAAAACCCTCTTGTTTCTTATTGTGCCTGTTATTTCTCATTCTCCTGCCGTGAAGAGCCTGGCTCCATCTTTTTGTTAACCTCATAGTAGATATTGGCAGGCTGCTGTGTTATTTCCCTCAAAAATGTCTCTTCTCCAGGCTTAATAAGCCACTTCTTACAGGTAAAGTGCTCCAGCTTTGAGACTTTTTGGTGACTTTCAGTATTCACTCCAGTTTATTGAAATCTGTCTTGTATTGGGGGCCAAAAATTGCATGTGGCATCCAGATTGAGTCTAAATGATTAGTCTGGCTCAGCTGCTTTTCCTGTAAACTTGACAGATATGCTGATGTAAATAAGTTGTATGATTTGGCTAAGAATTTAGAGCACTCAAATGTTGATTCCACTAAGTATATGAAACACGGCTGAAGGTCAAATCACCAAGTGTCCCTAATCTCCCTGTCATCATGTCTCTCCTTTGCACCTTTGTGAGATGAGTAATAATGTCTGCATCCCTCATTGCCTGTTATTTTGTATTTGTTGGCTTCACTGCTGCAAATCACCTAAATGTTAACTACTTTTCACTAAGGATGATTTTTGTTGTGGTTTTTGCAGGTTACATATCACAGGTACTAAAGAATTACACTGACCATGCGTGTGATGGAGAATATGTGTCCCTGAGATGTCCCCACAGAACCACCATCAGCATCCAGTCTTCTTTCTATGGACGAATTGTACCAAGTCATCAGCTGTGTCCTTCTCGCTATCCCCACTCCTATGCAACTTTAATTAAAGAAGATGTTGCCTGTTCAGTTGGCACTTCTCTTCAGGTATTGTTGAAATGCATTTCTTAATTTTGAACTTCACCTTTCCTTGGCCAGGCAGCAGCTCTCAGTGTTGGTGCTGCACAGACCTGTCTTAAGAAGGGCTACCCAGCACAGGAACTCTGACATCTCACACAGCCCAGTGGAGGATTCATCCTTGTAGTTTAGACAGGACTGAATTAGATTTTGATGGTGAATTTCCTAGTTTTCCTGCAGCTTTAGTCAGTTACAGTACAGGAATGTGGTTGAAGGAGAATTACACTTCAGGACTGCATTATGTTTGACTGGGTTTGAAGAGTATTATTTTTATAGTTTTCCTTCCCAATTATTAGCTTTTTCAACACATTCAGAAATTGCTGTAGCATTCTTTTTTGCTTTAGATCCTATTTCAAGAGGCTTTTACTTTGGTAACTTGAAACCCAGAGAGAATCCTTGGCTTTAATTCTTGTGACTCATTTGGCTCTTAGGCCACTGTAAGTGGTCATACATCACTTAAACTCGGAACATCCCCCAGTAGTTAATCGGCTCTGACCACTTGTGTAGGGAAAGTTGTCTCTGTGTATTGTCCCAAGAGCACATGTGACATCAGAAAATCAAAGGATTATTTGGAAGGTGCCAAAGTTACTCAACCATCAGTAGGAACAACTAAATTAGAAATATGAGTTGGCTGATGTTGTTGAGATGAATAGAGTCTGCTCCTGGGTGTTGAAGCAGGCACAATTTTTTCCAAGTGCTGAATTTGGGACTGTGAAAACTTTTGGGCAAAGCTCACAGTCATCCAGTGTGTTTATGGCTTAGAATCAATAATAACTCATAATAAAAATTTATAGCAGACTAGATTAATGAACCTACAGGGTTAGTGAGTAATTTCTTTTATAATTTGGCTAAAGGCTAGAGTTTTCCACATCACTTCTCGCTCTCCCATCCAGGGTTTTTAAGAGACATTTACAGCATTTTTTAAAGAGTTGATATGAGTGCTTTGGCTTCCAAATGCCAGTGTAAGTTCTCAAGAATTTGCTCAAGGTTGGTGTTTGGCTGTAGTGTAACCCTTATGCTGACAGATTTGAAGTTGCCCTCATGACACTTCCACTGCACAGCAAAGGACTGAGCTGTAATATGAGAGGAAAGTTTTTCCAGATATGATAACAAAAGTTCTTAACGAAACAGATGAGAGATAGTTGTGTTGTTTAGGGTGGGAGAACATGGAGAGAAAGCTTTGGCAGAGACTACCCTTCTTTTATTGATTTACTGAAAAATTTACTTGCAACCTTTCATTTACCAAGGTGATTGATAGCTACAAGCATCGCCCCAACCCTTGTGGGTGAGTTGGCATACTTAAGGCGTCTAGAAGAAATTGAATAGAAGGAAGATATGACCCTAGGCTTTCCATTTCATGGTTTTATGTGTAGATTGAAAAGAAATCCTTACCTGCCTCTCTTAGCTTTTTATGTCCTCAGACCTGTTCCTAAAGTATTAGCTTTGCCTTCAGTACTTAGGTGGCTTGTAATTCCCAGTCGCTGTTTATCAGAGTGAGAATTGTGTTCCCTGTAGGTAGATACAGGATATCCTGCAGCAGATCCCTCGTGCAATAAATTTGTTACATGACTAAGACCAAAACACTATTACTAACCCATTTTTGGGGATGCAGACGTGCTGGGAAAGAAGCTGACATTCCCTCTTTGCCACAAATTTCTTGGGACACCTTTGGCAACTTCCTGAGTCTTTTCAGAGGAGAATCACAGCCTCTTTGGTGCCCCCAGATGTGGCTTTGATCCCTCCATGCGTTGTGGTTGCCCAGCGCAGGATGAGCCCGACTGCCAGAGATGAATCTCATCTTCTCTCTCAGCTCTGGAAAGGGTGAGGCCTCTCTGAGAGGTAAGCCAGGAACTCCACAAGCTGAATGGCAAGCTGCCTGCAGCTGGCTGGTAGGAAATGCATGTGTGTAGGAAAATTGGAAAGCTGTAGACAAGGAAATTGTGTGTATTTTTGTGGTTTTGCAACTCAGATATATGGCTGCTACAGGCAGGACCAATTGTGTGTGTATTCTGGTTGTCAGTAATTGAAAAAGTCAGCCAAACCAAACCCTTCAAAACCAAGCATATAAAATCACTGTGTCTAATCAAACCCATGACTGTATAAATTTGCTGCTTCTCTGGAGAGTGGCCTGGAGGGAGTGTGAAGTGCATTTATTAACTCTGTTGCCTGCAAACACTAGCTGTGATTGTAAACTCCCATTTAGAATCTGTCTCCACTGTAAATGTCCAATTAAAACATTGTTTCTATGTTAAAAAGGTAAAAGAAAGAGTTGATTACACTGAGACAACCACTACTAATTCAGCTTTATGTGATTGGCTGCTAGGATTCCTTGCTTTAGTCACTTGTTTTTGTTTGAAATGAAATACAGACCACCTGGGAGAGTATGTATGAGGCATTGAGGCAGTGACCCAGTGACCCCAGACTAGACTTTTCTATTATTCTAACACTGTAATGTCAGATTCAATGGGAGCTTTCCAAAAGCACAAAGAATTTGGACATTCGTGGAATCATCACAGATTCATAGAATGGTTTGGGTAGGAAGAGACCTTAAAGAACATCTTGTTCCAACCCCCTGCCATGGGCAGGGACATCGTCCACTAGATCAGGTTGCCCAAAGCCTCATCCAACCTGGCCTTGAGCACTTCCAGGGATGTGACAGCCAGGACTGGGCAGTCTGTTCCAGTGCCTCGCCACACTCTGAGTTAAAAACTTCTTCCTAATATCTAATCTAAACTTACCCTTCTTCACCTCAAGGACTTTCCCCCTTGTTGTATGACTGTACACCCTTCTTGTAAGCTCCCTTTATGTACTGGAAGGCTGAATTCTGAGTCAGTGAAGGCTGAGTTTCTGATGCCACTTGTTTTCAGCAGTGAACCACTCTAGGACTGTATAGAAGAATGTCTAATGATTGGCCAAAATGATTGTTTATAACCAGAAAACTACATTACACTTTACAGCTGGTTACCTGCAATTTTCTTATTTTGATAAATTGGCAGAAAATAAAACCACAGCTTATTTGTAAGGAAAACAGAAAGCCCTGGAGAGCCACTTAATTTATTGTGCTTCTTCCCCCTGAAATTTATCAAAGACACTAAGGGCTAACTTCTCCCTTCATATGAACAGGTACTGAAATCAGCAGATAGATTCTCTTTCAAGGGCAATATTTTACTGTATAACTTGTTTCCCCAAGATGAGCTGTGTTTAGATGGTGCTCTGGAGCTGAATCCTGACTCTCCTTAGAAAGATTAACTGATCTGGGGAGGGCCTGTGCATGGCCTGTGCCCTGGGTCTCTTTCAACACTCTCCAGGACAACCAGTGCTTGGTGACAAGAATCACAAATGCTGCTGATGTGGTATTTCCTTTTGTCCTTTGGGTGAGAGACAGGACACCTCTGCTGCCACCATCTCCCCTCCAGCAGCCCTAGAAAAGGGAGCAGATTGCTTGGATGCTGACCACAAGACTCCCTGAACAGTTCCTCTCCTTTTTTTTTATTTTCACCCACCAGGAAGTTTCTGTGAAACAAACAAACAAACAAAAGAAAAAAAAAAAGTGAAAAAAAAAAAAAGCAAAAAAAAAAAAGCAAAAGGGAGCTGACCCCTTCACTGATGGAAAGATGAGATAAACTTTCCAGAAATTTCACAAAAGCAGAGGCCAGCTGTTGATTGCAAAAAGTGAGGGCTGGTGTTGCTCTTTCCAAAGTGGATTTTGTTTTCCTCATTTATTCTGGATTAAAAGTAAAATATCAAGTAGAAGGAAACATTTCCAACTGCTCCAGTTTTCTTGGCAGGCCAAGGACAATGGCTCCTGACATGTCCAGTCACCAGATGGTCCCACTGATGTCACAGCCCTAAGTGGCATCACCAGAAATGAGAAAGGGCCCTTTCTCATGACTCTGAACACCTATAAGATGATGATGGTCAGGGGGAAAGAAGGAAGAAAGTGGTAGAAATTGGTAGAAAGGAAGAATAATGGTGATCAGTACCACTGGGAGGAGAACCCACTGTTATATTGCATATTAGAACTCCACAGTTTCTAGGCAGTTTGAACAAGGAAGGTTTCAGTCTCAAAAATGTCCGTGAACTAAAGAGCAGTGTGGACAACTCTTTTTCAGACCATATTAATTACTTTGCAGAGGATGGTGAGCAGTGAGCTCAGGGTCCAGAAGAGGTTCCTGCACTGCCAGAGTTGCTGTTAAATGTCACAGAACCATTTCTGTTTCATTCCTGAATTTTCCCCAGGCTGAACTAGAACTCTCAGGCAAGTGGCTCCCCCAGCTAATTATTTGCAAGTAGAACTGTTGGATGCAGAGGTCACAGACAATCTCCAAATTGCTGTGTCTTTGAAATCTTTGGCTTGACTGAAATAGCTCATCAGAGCAGAGGGATTATGTCCTGCAGGAGAAGAGGCACTGGAGGCAGAGGTGGCCAGTGCAGCCTGTCTCCCTGATGAGGCAGGACTGCTCCCCAGGGTGCAAGCCTTCTAATGCTTTGTTTACTCTAAATTTAAACTTTCCAAGTCATGGGGCTTCCATCATTGCCACTAAGACCCTATCTGACAGTGTAACGGTTTGCTCCCAGGGATTTCTTTCCACTTTTGTGTTTTAAGCTTTCCCTTTCTTTAATCCTGTGACTTTTGGTTATGCATCCTTTTGTATTTCTTCAGTTTAGACCTCCTCTTCCTTTGAAGTTGACCCTGCATACAGATTAAGTTTCCTACTGTTAGGAAATGTAGGTAATGTTAATTAGGTGATATTTGTAATGCAGCTTTTATCAGGTCCTTCTATTTGGTGAACATGTTGCTGCTCTTTGTGAAATGCTGTTTCTGGACTCTTTCAAGGCCCTGCCAGAGGAGCACTGGTGGATCCTGCTGGTGTTTTAACATCTGCTGTCTGCTCTACTGTCCTGCTGGCATTTATTACTCCCATAGCAGAGATGGTGACAGGGAATGCATGCCCAGTTTTTAGTTCTTT